TATTTGCTGACTTTTTTTCCCCTCGTGTGAAATTTTAATAAGTTGTGTTCCTCTCTGTGCTCCTATAGAATTGTTTGCAAGAGGTGGAAGAGGAGCTGGTTTCTGCTACAAAGCTTGCTGTGTAAAACCAGTACAATTAATTCTGGAACAAGGGAAGTCATTTTCTTCTGCCAGGAGGCTGTCATACATGCCCTTTCATCACAACAATTCCACAGCACTGGTGACTTTGGTTTGTTGTGGTGGGTTTTGTTTTGGGACCTTTTTGGGATTTTTGTTTTGTTTTGCATAGGTGAAGTGATTTGGTAGTATGTGTCCCCCCCCCTCCACCCCCCAGATGCTTTTAATACATAGCTTTTATATTGTGCTTTTCTTTTGTAACATACAATACAGCTTACAAAGGAGGCAACAGTTGTCTCCATTTCTCAGGTTGGGAAGCTAACAGAGGTGATGGGGTCTGTAGGCTCAATGGCAGTCATGGTAGAATACTGGTTTCCTCGTTCCCTAGTTTGTTGCTGTGCTCCAGTGGACCATATTGCTGATGGAGGTGCTAGATCAGAGATAAGTGCAGTGGCAGCGTATTATTTGATTGTCAGAGTCTCTGGTTAAAACACCTTTTATGTCTGAATTTGTATGTATTTATTTACTTATTTAGATTCATCTCTTGCCCTATCAGAAAGGAATAGGGAAGAAATGGGATGAGCAAGTAGTTGGTGGAGTGGAGGGAGCACTTTTTATGAATATTGGAAAGCAGAAGTGGGAGGTTTGGGAGGATGAATATTGGCAAAGTGTCAGAGGTCTAGGGAAAGTGACCTCTAGCTTAAGTCCCTTGAGAGACGCTACTAGAAACTATTTTCACTGTTCTCCAGCCTTTTTGATGATTCCACCCTTCCATTTTTACTTCAGGCTTTTTTTACTCAATCATTACAGCAGCAGGGATCTTCATTTCTTTCTGGCAAGGTTCAAAATTGTGTACATGTCTTTCTAGGCAATAATGTTTCTTTATTTAACCTCCCATGACTTTCAAGATGTCATTTTTCTACCGTTGTTTTCCTCAAAGAGCAGGTTCACATGAATAACCTACTGCTGGTAATGACAGCATTGTACTCACACCTGCTTAGAGTCTGTGAGAGAGTTGCTATTATTTTAGGCAGAAATAAAAGCCCAGAACCCTTTTGAGAATAAGGATTTTTTCTGCTGAGTGTAGAGTATGTGAAAGGAAGTTGGTGACATTTCTTGGAGATGACAGGCTTGTAACATTGAAGTTGTAATCAAAATTCCTCCATAGGTGGCTGATTAATTTCAGGTCTGGGAACTATAGCTTGAATGCTTGACCTTCTTTGTCCTCTTTATATGCTACTCTGTCTCCCTTGCCTGTTTGTTTTAAACTTAAATGGTTCTTTGGGGCAAATGCCTAGTTCCTTCTACATATTTTATGAAGTGCCTGGCACTTTTTGTGTTTCTATAAAATGTTATTTCTGACTTCTGTTTGTTCTCCCTTTACATGTTAGGTGCAAAATTTCTGGCAGTGGGTTGAGGAAGGCTGAAGAAGGATGGTGAGCAAATTTCAGAAATAGCCAAAAGATAATGTGCTACCATGGCCACCACCCCCACTCTTCATTGGCCAGATCTCATTGGGTCACTGAGATTTTTGTCCAAGTGCAGTAGGATGGAAACTGGTTACCTCTTTTGTGGGGTCACAGCCATGTGATGGCCCACACTAAAAGAGCATTTATAGACATGGTCTTGTAAGTTGACTTTGTGCCTGGAAAGCAGATGATCCAGAGTGGTCTCTAGGGAGAATGCATCTACCTAATACATGGGTCCATTTGTTTGGAAAAAGATAAGAACTGTTTTTTTTTACCATGATTTTAAAAGTTCCACATAGGAAACTCATTCTGAAATCAGGAAGTTTGACTTTATTTCCATAGATCAGTGATTATTATTACTTTTTTTTTGTCCAGTGTGCCATGAGGTTCTTTAAAGTAGCAGTTCAATATTACCAGTTAGGGATGCAAACACCTACACATGATTCACAAGGTATAAACTCAGAGCTGGCATTTTCTGAGGAGTACCTCTAGTCTAAAATGGCAGAGAAACACTGCCTTTGATGAAAAGTGTAATACAAAGACCAGAATCCAGTGTGACCTGGTAATAGAAATCTTTTCTAGAAAGAGAGCTCTTGTATTGGTTTATGTTAAGCTACAAATTGAATGGAAAGTGTATGTAGGCATATATTTCTTCCACTTGATCCAACTTGATTGATTTTTAGATTGAAATGAAGTACCTATAACAAAAGGTCTATCCTGAGTTCTAGTTTTCTCTTGCCATGAGTTCTAGAATTCAAGATGAAACACTGGACAATAGCACATTTCTGTCCCTTTTCCTAATCCTACTATTCAGAAGTTAACGTAATTACCAATCAAAATTTCTTGTCTGTGATATGTCTCCCCAGCTGTTTAAAAATGTTAAAAAACTTGTAAAAAATGCTTTTGAAGTATACCAAAATGATCAAAAGTTTGTGGCTGTGGGGTGAGAGTGAGTTTCAAGGCTGAAAAACACTTTCTGATAACATCCTGCCACTAGCTGCTTCTTTTCTAGAACAACAGTTTGGGTGTGTTTTTCTGATCTCAGTTGAAGCATTGGTAGTTCAGGGAGGAGGGACCAGGCATTCAAAGCTTTGGAAGTTCCAGTGAGGACAAGCTCTTCCTGGAAGCAATCACTGCAGGTCTCTGTGAAAATGATGCAAGTGCTCCTTGTGAATTACCCTGCTTAAAATGCACAGAAAATGGCAGCTCAAGTGTCAGCTTGCAAATGGACTTAATGCATTGGCTCAGAGGAATATACATGGTGAGAGTCTGTCTAAAAGATGAGTGAAGTGTGGATCATGGAAGGTGGGTCTGCTTGTGAGAAGAGAGGTCGTGCATCATGCTCAGTGGGAATAGGATTTTCCTTCCAATGGGGAAAAAAAAATCCCATTTGACACTAGTTACTACTCGCCAGCAAATTCTGTTAGGAGAAGGAGTCTGATGACTGGTTCTATTTGCTCATTTGTAAGCAGCTTAGCATCTAAGGGTGGTGGTGGTAGTGGAAGAGTTGGGGACATTGCTTCCGATATTAAAGGAAATCGGAAGGAAGGACCCCAATCTCAGTTTACTGCTTCATACGTGATAGTTGGTAATAAACTCATCATCATCATCATCATCTATGTTTAAACAACACATGCAATATTCCTCTTTAATTTTATTACTGATTCCTGGCTGGAGGAAACATGGTCTTGATAAGAGCATATTTCTTGACTCCCTTTAGTTTCAATTTATAGAGAGACAGGGGTGGGAATAAACCTAATTAGAGCTTTGGTTTAATTCTGAAGGTGGTTTCATTGTGGGTGTTACTTTCTGCTTTGAGATTTCCACGGCAAATTTAATTTACGGATCTATTTAGAGTACAGGCTACCTTTTCCCACCCCTCTAGGATTCCTGTCCAAACTAACTGAATAGCTTTCAGGCCTGGAAGAAACTACAAATCGTTATTATTTCAAGTATATATGCTATAATACTTATGTCTGGATAGGCTAGGGACAATACAAATGTAGCAAAGCTGCTCCGTCTTCAACCTGGGATGAAGGGTGTTAGTGGTGGAGCTTGTTTTGCTACACTTTAAATCTTCTCAGTTTGTTTTCACCTAACTGAATGTAATGGCTGCTGTTGCAGGGTTCGGAAGAGGAGTCCCCCGCTCCTTATGAAATGGCTGTAAGTATATACGTATCCATACTTGGGGAGGTGGAGTGATGGCTCCCATATCCCGGTCAGATCCTTCTAAGTGATTTGAGGTAAAATAGTTGGTTGCTGTCACGGTGGTCTTAAACCTGTTCTCTTGTGTGATAGGGAGAAATTGATCACCTTCAATGGGATTTCTCCCAATCTACTTTTAAAATAAACTCTTTCAACTAGACTACCAGTAGCATAATCTGCTCCAAAATATCCTAAAGAATAACACTTGGGTAACACTTGACTTAATTCAATATTGAATCTGAAAAATTTGTTTCCAGAATAAAATGTTCATATTCTGTTTGATATTTTAAATTTTCTCCTGCATTTCACCAGTGCAAGGGTATTTTTAATATCCCTTATTTAACTTTCAACTTTTCAAATACTACTTGATTTTTTTTATTTAGTTTCTGGATATTTTAGCTGAAGCTAAATAAAACCATTTCCACTCCTGAAGACAGTGGAACTGTTGCTATTTTCAGAAGAAAAATGTGTTTTCTTCTTTCTGAGTTAGTGTAATATTTTCACTTGAAGATACGGAAACATTTTGACTGTGCATATGTGGATAGTCTCTTTTCCCTCTTCCCTTTTGAAGATAAGGAGACATTTCTAGTGTGCATATTTGGATATAGTGTCTTTTACCCTCTCCCCTTTTCGCCTTGCCTTTCCTGAAAGCACCTCTGTAACTGCATGGCAACCCTTGGTTCTTTCAGCAGGACACTGTAAAATCATCATTACTCCGTGTCTGTGGGACAGGCAGAACACTGAAGGCAAGCAACGATCTGTGGTAAGATTCAGATAGGATTGGATTGGATAAAGCAATTCTTCCCCTTTTGGATTTAAACGGAGTGGGTCATTCTTTAAATATAATTAGATATCTGTAAGTAGTAGTCTCTTTAGAGACAGAGGGATTTTTTTCACATGCAGCTGTTGGAAAATGCTGAAGTACGTGCTAGAAGAGAAAACGTCGAGAAACAGTAGAAAGAGCTGAAAGGAAAGGGTCGGGGCCGTCTTTGAAAAGTGAAGAGGGACAGGGAGTGAAAGGCGCTCCTGCCTCGCCATTGGTCAGATTTAGATCCGCATCGCCATTGGTTGTACAGAGCAAGGGCGTTTGATTAGCCAATCACAATTCGCTTTCCCAGTCCGGGAAAAAGGATAAAAGGGCAGGGCTCGGGGCGGGGTCCCGAGTTCTTTGCGCTGATTTGGGCGGCGTCGGGTTGTAGTGGAGTGACAATGTCGGGCCACGGCAAGCAGAGCGGGAAGGCGCGTGCCAAAGCCAAGTCTCGGTCTTCGCGGGCCGGGCTGCAGTTCCCGGTGGGCCGCGTTCACCGCCTTCTGCGCAAAGGCCACTACACAGAGCGGGTCGGAACCGGGGCCCCGGTTTACCTCGCGGCCGTGCTGGAGTACCTGACGGCCGAGATCCTGGAGCTGGCGGGCAACGCGGCGCGGGACAACAAGAAGACGCGCATCATCCCCCGCCATCTGCCGTTGGCCATCCGCAACGACGAGGAGCTCAACAAGCTGCTAGGCAAAGTGACGATCGCGCAGGGCGGCGTCCTGCCCAACATCCAGGCCGTGCTGCTGCCCAAGAAGACCGAGAGCCACAAGGCTAAGGCCAAGTAAACCCAGCCTCGAAGAGGCAGGATCCGTCTTGTCAACCGCTAAACAGAACCCAATAGCTCTTTTCAGAGCTACCCACCATGTTACAGGGAAGAGCTGAATGTCGTGCTTAGAAACGGAAGGTTTTCCTTTCTGATGCGCAGGATAGTTTTTTCTAACAGTAACACTGGGACACTTGCCAGTTTTACCTTTCATCGGCGTGTTCGGTAATGAGCTCTTGAGGGGAAAAGGAAGGACAGAAATAATTGGAGGTATTAATGCCTCACTGCTATGTCTGCAAAAATTGAACATGTCAAAAGAAGACAGATGTAGTGTTGGGTAGCACGTAGAAAAACATGAAATGGGGTGAAAAAGCCTGAGTGATCGGTATATACATGATAGATGCCTATATATCATCTGCAGGCAGTTTCTGAACCTGACAAAGCGTTTGTGCATGGAAGAATTTTTCCAAGTATTTGACTTGGTCTAATAAAAGATACCTGATGTACCCAAAGCACCTTGTCTGCCTGTGTCTTCAGACCAACGCTGCTACACCGTACACCCCCGTATACGACATAGTACATGTATTCTCTTGACCAGGAAACTGAATATCCGTGACAAGCTGCAAACTGTACCTCATCACTCATTCATTTTAGGCTACAGAACTAGTTTCCAAAAATGACTGGGCCACTTTATTAAACCAAACAACCAAAATGGGGTATTTTTATTTTTAAAACAACTCCCCTGGTATTTTCCATCTCATTATACACCTTCTAAAATAGCCAGTTTCAAGAGCAGTTATCAGGTGGTGCTGTCATTATTGCTTGTGTTCTGGAATCTGGATAAGCTCAGATTTGTGGGGTGGCTGAAGATGCCACTGCGTGGCCAATGGGATATTATTACCATGAGACATCTCCAGTAATGATTATTAGATGGTGCATGTGACCCAGGTTAATGTGTTCAGTAGTGGTACAGAAGGAAAAAAAGACTCACTGGTAAAGTAAAAAGTCCTTTAAATGATGCTTTCATCAATATAAAAGTGCATTTACTACCATAGGGAAACACAATGTTAGGAAGGAAAGTCAGTCATTCATTCATATCATTTGAGTCATCTTTTTTTGTGGGGTGTAGCTTAACTATTACTGACTTCGCTTTCATCATCTAAAGAAATGTCATGAGATGACACGAAATATTTTGATGGAGTGTTGGTCCCTTTCGGCTTATAAAGCTTCAGTATAAAGCCTTTCCATCTTGTGCTAACGCAGGAATGTGCTTAAAAATTGACTAAAACAATAGCTTTGTGTGATTAAACTTTCTATTTAACCTTTTTTTGAGTGATGTAGGGATCCTTTACTCCAAGAGTATTTTATTCCTAAAACGCACTCAGAAATAGCAGTGTCAAAGTTTTTAGTAGACAAGCATGGGAAATCCTTAGAAACAGCCATGCCCGTTTTAGACAATGACTCATAATTTCCCACACTGGGTAGAGATGCTATCAAAAACATAATGTGGTATCAGTAAATATTAATGTTTTCTTCTTAGTTAACAGGAAAACCTCGCTAGCATTTCTTCCACATAAAGTTATGAAGACGTTGTCTTTTAACGAGGACAATCACCCTTTCTGCAACACACCGCTATGTAACCAACGCTGTCTGTACTGTACACAAAGTAACAAACTGTACTTGATAATAACATTTCTTCCCGGGACACAAACTGGTCCTCACAGGACTTTAAATTGCACACTGTGCTGTTACAACAGGCACGAATTTCGCTTAATTACATTGTTTTAAGAGGTAAAGGATTTTGGTCAAAGAGGCTAATTTCTAATCCATATTCAACGCTCTGGGACGAACTTGTGTTACTTCCTTCCCTTTGAAATCATTTTGTGATGAAAATAGGGGTTCAAATGCCTGGTTTTCAGCTGTGATTTAAATGAGACCCTTTAAAGAATAAGATTTGGTGGCTTTGGAGGTTTTTTTTTGGACTATGAAGCTTTTATTTAGAAGGAAAAACAAAAGTTTCTATTTCCCGAGGTCTCTCCAGGTCCAGGACTCAGCGTTTATTCACTCTTTTTTAATTCGCCTTTTATTTCCCCGCCGGGAAACTTTACCGGATGAAAAAACAGTCTTTCTTCTTCATCCTGATTTAAAATGGGGTGATTCCACCGGATCTATTCTTTAAAAAATACACTTTTTTGACTCCTAAGAAACACAAACTAAGCGGAGAGAAGAGTCCTTTCTGCCTTGCAGCTGGGCGGGCTCTGTAACGCACCAATCACGGGGCAGCTCGTCTCTATAAATACCAGGCATCTGACTTGCGCTAGCCCAATTGTTTTTTTTCTGATTCGTGGAGGACGTTCGCCGCTATGTCGGAGACCGCGCCTGTTGCCGCTCCTGCTGTGTCTGCTCCTGGGGCGAAAGCCACCGCCAAGAAGGCGAAGAAGGCTGCGGGCGGTTCCAAGGCCCGCAAGCCCGCGGGGCCCAGCGTGACCGAGCTGATCACTCAGGCCGTGTCCGCCTCCAAGGAGCGAAAGGGGTTGTCCCTGGCTGCGCTCAAGAAGGCGCTGGCAGCCGGCGGCTACGATGTGGAGAAGAACAACAGTCGCATCAAGCTGGGGCTCCGGAGCCTGGTGAACAAGGGCATCCTGGTGCAGACCAAGGGCACTGGCGCCTCGGGCTCCTTCAAGCTGAATAAGAAGCCAGGTGAAACCAAGGAGAAAGCAACCAAGAAAAAGACAACGACAGCCAAGCCTAAGAAGGCGGCGGCCAAGAAGCCCGCCAGCGCAGCCAAAAAACCCAAGAAGGCGGCGGCCGTGAAGAAGAGCCCCAAGAAAGCCAAGAAGCCGGCGGCCGCCGCGGCCAAGAAGAGCGCGGCCAAGAGCCCCAAGAAGGCCAAGGCTGCCAAGCCCAAGCGGGCCGCCAAGAGCCCGGCCAAGGCCAAGGCGGTGAAGCCCAAGGCTGCCAAGCCCAAGGCAGCCAAGCCCAAGGCAGCCAAGGCCAAGAAGGCGGCGCCCAAGAAGAAGTAAAGCGGCTTCTGAAATTATTCATGCAAACCCAACGGCTCTTTTAAGAGCCACCCACCTCTTCCTAAAAGGAGCTGAAATACTCTTGCTTACAGCACCAGTAGCGTGTACCGCCAGCCCCGTAGTGCCCGGGGCGAGGTGGTGAGCCTACACGTAGCGCACATTTAAAACGAGCCCAGCCTGGTTTTGCCCCTGGGGTCGGCCAGGTCCCAGTGCCGCCGTGCGGTCCCGCGCCTGCAGCGGTTGCAAGTGACAGTCAAGGCTATAAATTTCCCAAAACAACAGCAAGCAAATGGTGACTTGCGAAACGCGATCTGGCTTCTGCCAGTCGTGGTGAGGCTGCAACAGCTGGACTTGCTGTTCGCTTGTGTTGGCCCCAAGTCCTCGGGGCGGGGGCCGGGCAGTGAGGGCACAGCGAGAAGCGTTCCAGCTGCTGACTGGCGGCTGGAAATAGCATTCAAACAGTTGGAAACTTTGAAAAGCCCGCGCTGCTCAGGGATTGGTCAGACTGCCGCCCTGTGTCTAACCCTCCGGGGCTTTCTGTTCACAATCATTTGAAATAAAGCGCTGATTCTACAGATCGATTAGCTAACGTTATGTTTTATCATCACTCGTTCGCGTACAACAGTCGGGGGTGCAGATGAGCTGGCCGTGCCCTGGGAATGCAGGCTCTTGACCGGTTTCTATTTCCGCCTAGGTCGCATTTCAAAAGGAGACGAGTTTTGCCGCCACCCGGATTATGTAAAGGATGTAGTACATGGCACACTCGCCTTCACAAAGGGGAGAATACGGTGCTCATACCTCAGTGCCATCATTGTAGCCGCAATATTAATGGGGGGGGGGGGAGAAATATCAGAGCACAAGAGGTTCAGCTGGACTGGGGACACTCCTGACAGAGCAGGGAAGAGCAATACCCCTCAAAGTTTCAGGGTCACTACAAGTTGCCTGGTATTAATGGTGGGGCTCCAGGCGCGGTTTCTGAATGGCAGCATTCAACTGAACAAAACGGGTCTCGATAAAGCTATAGTTACCCTGTATTCAAACCTTTCCTCTCTGCTTGCTTAGTACTAGCAATACTGGAAGCAAGTGGAAGGACTCGTGTTTAGTGGGAAGGCTGGCTATTTTCTGCTCAGCAGCTGTGATTTTCAGGAAGTGATGAGAATAAGATAAGACACGGGGCTTAAACATAGGTAGTCTGTAGAGCAATAGACTCCCTTGATCAGTGACCGGGTCACCTGAACAACCCAAAAAGTTCAACAAAGAGTTTCGAAAGACTTACAAGGTAACCAAGGAAACTGGAAGAGAGCAAATTCAGATTGGACATCAGGAAAAAATTCTTTACAGTGAGGGTTGCCGAAATATGGAATAAGCTTCCAAGGGAGGTGGCGCTGTTCCCTACCTTGGGGGTGTTTAAAAGGAGATTGGATAGACACCAGGCTGTGGTCATCTGACCCCAGCGCTCACTCCTGCCCAGGGCAGGGCGTGGGACTCAGTGATCTCATAGGTCCCTTCCGACCCTAACATCTATGAAACTATGAAAGAACTTGACAATTTGATTACTTTTCAGGTACTCTAAACTTTTGTTCACTTGACTGTTCTCTAGCATTCAGAGCTTGACACTTAGACTATGTGATTAAATATGGAAAGTCTAATTTCTCTTTTAAAAACATGGAATACTTCGATTTCCCTTCCCTTGGATTTAGCTGGTGCCACGTACAAAGAAAAGCACAGCCTTAATTTAAAGATTAAACAAGTTTTTGTACATACTCTTTGCCCCACGAATATAGAAATAACACAGCAATAAAGCTCCTTTACTGAAAATGTGGGTGGCTCTTAGAAGAGCCTTTGGGTTCTAGGCTAAAACGGCTCGAGCCTGTTTACTTGGAGCTGGTGTACTTGGTGACAGCCTTGGTGCCCTCGGACACGGCGTGCTTGGCCAGCTCCCCGGGCAGCAGCAGGCGCACGGCAGTCTGGATCTCCCGGGACGTGATGGTCGAGCGCTTGTTGTAGTGCGCCAGGCGGGAGGCCTCGCCGGCGATGCGCTCAAAGATGTCGTTGACGAAGGAGTTCATGATGCCCATGGCCTTGGACGAGATGCCGGTGTCCGGGTGCACCTGCTTCAGCACCTTGTACACGTAGATGGAGTAGCTCTCCTTTCTGCTCTTCTTGCGCTTCTTGTCGCCCTTCTTCTGCGTCTTGGTGACCGCTTTCTTGGAGCCTTTCTTGGGGGCGGGAGCGGACTTGGCGGGCTCAGGCATGTTGCTAAACCCTTGTTCTCGAAGCAAGTCAAGAACAGTAGTAAAACGCACAGCCAACTCCCCCTCTATTTATAGGGGACCTATGCAAATCGGTGCCTTCTGTGCTCTTCATTCTTATTTGCTACGAGTTCTTGTTTACGTCATTTCGTGCACTACTTCTTCTTAATTGGTCAATTTCAAATACCAATGCGCCATTGGCTAGTGGTACGAATTCAATTTTAACCAATCAGAAAACATTTTCCTAAAGCACTATACGATTATAGTGCTTACAATCGTTTTACTTCTAAACTTGCTCTCCTTCCAATAAGTTATTGCAACCTTCAAAACTAGAAACAGTTTTGTATTCTAGAATAGTTTGTAACCTTTTAACTGCAAAGGGGGGCATAAATTTCGTTAGAAAGATAGTGTCGATCCTCCAGGATTAGGAGCACCTGTCTCTCACGTAGTTACCTAACTGGGAAAAATACTGGTTTTGTGTATATATTAAAGATACCAGGTATATACCCAACCATAACATAAGAATGATTTTTCTCCTGGGTTGAAGGAAAATACTACAGTAATATTACCACAAATTAGTATGAATGATTGCTTTTATTTTAAGAAAAAGGTTATGTTTAGGGGGGCAAAGCTGTAAGGATTGGGTTGAGAGAGACTTTATAAACGAAAATACAATGATTAATCATGACAAAAATGGTGGTGGGGAGGGGGGAAATGGACATACACAATTTCATATTTGCTATCAGTTGTTTCCAGGTTAAATTAATCCAATTCACTTTGTTGACCTTTTCTCTCCCACTCTGTCCTGAACAGCCCCCATCATCCAAATGTATGTTAAATGCTATTGTTCACATCACACATCAACATAAACCTGTTGGTCAAAAACTATGGCCTGTGTTATACCTGTATAAATCTTGAAGGCTCATGGGATTTCCGAACTATAATTGAATTAAGAAGTAGAGGTGGAGTAGCACAAGTACAATAAAAATAATTTGGGCTCTGAGACAGTTATTATTGCTGGTAGTGCCTGAGAAGGGAAGAAAAACACAATTTGCCTTTCAAAATGTATGCTGAATAGAAGTGGTGGCAGGTCTATGCAAACCATAATATATCAACATTGATGCAGATATGTTTCAGATGCAATAGGTATGGAAACCCATTATGAGAGGAATTATGTGATCTTGGTACTGAAATGAAAGTCATCTAGGCACAGGGATCATGCAAGATAAAGACAACAAACCGAAGACTGGGAATGAAATCTGGCCTTTTTGAAGTCCAGGTGATTTTTGGTACTGAGTTCATTGGTATTCCAATTTAACTTCTAGTCCTGAAAAGAGCTCATGCTTACTTAGTCTTATGCTTAATTACACACGTTCCCGTTCACTTAAATAGAAATGATCACAAGGAAAAATATTTTTCTTTCTTTCTTTCTTTCTTTCTTTCTTTCTTTCTTTCAATGTTTACCTATTTAGTACTACAACACTTTGCATGTGCTTTTGTTTGTGCATACTGGGTGTGACACAGAATCATAGAAAATGAAGGCTGGAAGGGACCTCAGGAGGTCATCTAGTCCAACCCCCTGCTCACAGTAGGACCATCCCCAAGTAGATCATCCCAGACAGGGCTCTGTCAACTTGGGGCTTAAAAACCTCTGAGGATGGAGATTCCACAGTCTGTCTAGGCAACCTGTTCCAGTGCGCTTCACACTCTCCTAGTAAGAAAATTCTTCCTAAGATTTAACCTAAACTTCCCTTGCTTCAACTTGAGACCATTGTTCCTTGTCTTGTCATCTGCCATCACTGAGAACAATTTAGCTTCATCCTCTTTGGATCCCCCTTTGGGTAGTTAAAGGATGCTATCAAATCCCCTTCAGTCTTCTCTTCTGCAGATTAAATAATTCAAGTTCCCTCAGCCTCTCCTCATAAGTCATGTGCCCCATTCCCTTAACCATTTTTATTGCCCTCCTCTGAATTCTTTCCAAATGTTACACACATTTTGGGTTAAGACCTTTGAAAATTACTAATACAAATCTGTTATTGAAATAAAAGTAGTGCTGATGATACTAAAATAAACAGCTATTTTAAAATTGCATCTAGCTGATTCTATTAATTAACTGATAGTGAGAACTCTGAAAGTAGGCTAAGTTTCTTTTGATATAAATTAATGAAGAATAAGATTGTGTGGATACATATCTTTTCAAACTAGCTCAGAAATCCTCCCATGCTGCTTTTCTTTACCCTTAGGACCAACATTTCTATTTACCTACTGCTCAATTAATTTGACATATGTATTTTAATAATGGTCAGGAACAGTCTATTTGTGGTTTCATAGTCCCAGGGCTTTATGCCTTGGCTCGATACCACTGATATAATGGCAGACTTATACCAGCTATGGGTCACATATTCCCTGGCTCCTTACTGAAATTTTGGATCTGCTTGACATGTGGGGAGAAGAGATGGCAAACCCTTCTTCAACAACCAGCAGTAATATAAACAGAGGTATGGATGCACAGTTCAGCAAATGGTTGAAGAGGGTCACACCAAAGGCAAGGAGCTCAAACAGATTTATGTGAAAACAAAAACACAGCCTCTGGAAGTGGTCTGCTAATCAGTCCTTACTAAAAGGACCTGGATAGCATTTATTTTGAAAATATCAATAGTGGCAGACATTGCTGCCAACTTTATGGAGACAATGGACTGGGAATCATTTAGTATAGTTCAAGTTATGCCTTCTTTTTAAGCATACATAGACAAAAACAAAGCAGATATTCCAAAAGTAACATTTTTCAAAGGTACTCATCCATAGACTAACTCTGTTGTAACTTAAATCAGTTCAGTGGGTCTTGAGAAAAATACTTCTGTCAAAACTGTTACGTGACTGAGGAGTGTTTCAAAAACCTGATTTATCCTCACATATGGTATCAAACTGGTTTTCAGATATTCCTACTTACAAAGGTTATGGTTTCAAACATCTTTTTTGTTTTATCTGTATTGTTTACATGACATATCAGGACTTTCTAAGACTATGCTGAAAATGTTTCTGTGTGTGTCATTGCCCCACAAGTCCTCCATTTCACTCTGGAGAGTTTCTAAAGTATAATCTTCTGAGATACACTTAAAAAAAAAAGCTCTTTGAGGAAGGCCTTAATCTAACTGATTTCATAGAGAAACAATCCAAAGTATTTTAACATCCCTAAAAATGTTGGTAAAACAAGGCACATTCCTGTTATTAGTCACATAGCTATCTCTTCAAGTAAGGGTTGAAAAACCTCCTACTAAGATTATCTGGTGTTAAACAGAACTCCCAGGAAAACAAATGATAAGATCAAACATATACAATTAATATCATACAGGGGTTACAAATTAGATGTTGAACTTCTTTTGTGTAGCACCCTTAACCACTTCTGGTTCTATTAATTTGTCTGCTGATATGACATACTGTGGGGAACTGTTACTATATAAAGCACCCCTACCATCTGAGTGCTCTGTAATACCTTTTATAAAATAATAATTAACATAATATTTGTGAGGTAAGAGATAAATGAGTTAGACTAAGAAAAAAAATCAGATCAGGAGGCAAACTAAAATGAACCCTTTCCTATCTCTCTCTCTGAATTCCTATCTTACATTATATTTCTGCCTCTGCTACTCAAAATGAATGAAACAGAAAAGCCACAAGATGGAAGCAAAGCATAATGAAAAACAAACCTATTCAGAATTTCAGGATTCATTTAAACGAACAAAAAGTTCAATCATTCTAACCTGAGAGTACAGGAGATGAACAGTCCACCCCAACACTTCTTGAGTGCCCTGGAAGTGAGATTTTAAAGGAAGGGAAGAGGGAATTTTTGAAAATAAAAAAATCATTGTAGAGTGCTATAAACATTTATATAGAAAACCGAGGCATCTTGAGAGAATAACTTTCTCAATTTCCTGTATTTTTGCATCTTTTTCTCCACATCCAGGTACATAATTGAAAAAACGATCTCTTTATAGTACAGACAGTGCTTCTAACAATACATTACAAATGGTGCACGGCTAGAGCCCCTTCTGGAGCCGGAAAGGAGTCTAGATTTGAGCTATGGCCTTTCATTCCTGTACGCCAGTAACTCATAAGACGGCCTTGAGAGCACTAGCAATAAACAACTCAAAGGAATCGAAGAAAAAAATATAATGTCTGTGAGGCTATTCTCGGGATTCAGTTTCGAGGCATTCTGTAGCAGACCGATTGCCGGCAGCCCTCCTTTGTTTAAGGTTTGCAAGATGGCGGAGAAGACGGCGAGGAAAGGGGCGGGTGGTACGGGAGAAAAGAGAGAGGAGAGGGAGAGGAGGGATGTGTCTGCGAAGCCGGTTGGCCAGATATTGCTGCAGTTTCTTATTTGAAACAGAACAGGATGTCCCCGTCCCGTCCCCTGCGCCGAAGACTCGGCGGTGTCTGCCACAAGTGGGATCACAACGATGGGAAGGGAAAACACGAGTATGACACGCGCACAGTGCACGCGAAAAGGCTCCTGTTCTGTGCTAGGGGGCATCTTGGGGAGAGGTCCACCCTGCCGGGAAAAGAGCAGCGGCACTGAGCGCGGTGCCGGCGCTGGCTAGCGGGTGTAAAGCTCTCCCAAAGCGGAGATGAGTTCTTCTCACAGCGGCTGCGGCTGGGAGAAGGGATGATGCCCCCCCCCCGCGCCTCACCAAACTGCGGCGGCGCTGCGCCCGAGCCGCCTCAGGCTCACAGGGCAAGGCGGCAAGGGAGCGTGGGGGAAGGGAGAAGCGCCAGTCTCGCGCCTTTTTTCTTTCTTCAGTTCTCAATCAGGTCGGACCGCAGGCAATATATACCGCGCTGTCCGCTACACTCCTCACAAACAGATTGCAGCAAGTAGTTGACAGCGATGTCTGGTCGTGGTAAGGGCGGGAAAGGGCTAGGGAAAGGTGGCGCCAAGCGTCACAGGAAGGTGCTGCGGGACAACATCCAGGGCATCACCAAGCCGGCCATCCGCCGCCTGGCTCGGCGCGGCGGCGTGAAGCGCATTTCCGGCCTCATCTACGAGGAGACCCGCGGGGTGCTCAAGGTCTTTCTGGAGAACGTGATCCGCGACGCCGTCACCTACACGGAGCACGCCAAGCGCAAGACCGTCACCGCCATGGACGTGGTCTACGCGCTCAAGCGCCAGGGCCGTACTCTGTACGGCTTCGGCGGCTAAACAGGCGCGGAAAAAAAGCCCATCTAACAGCTACATCGATCACAACGGCTCTTTTCAGAGCCACCCACGTTTCCTCAGAAAGAGCTGTTAATGCTAATTGTGCTATCACGGTATCTTAAATGTGGCTGGGCATTGTGCTGTTTATTTGCTATTTTTTAGCGTACTGTCACTTGCCTCTTTTTTGCGTTTATAGCTTGGTTCGCTGTTCTACACAGCCTACCTGTGAGTGGGGCTGGCAGCAGTGTGATAACTGGACTTACTGGCCCGGGCATTAGAGGATTCCTCCTCCCCGCGCGCAAGCAGTGAAATACAAAAGCCCCCATTAAATTTTAACGCATTAAGATAGTCAAACTAACAGCTCATTTTATCGAGACTGTGGTGGCTCTCAGAAGAGCCATTGCGTTTTCGTTGGTTACAGAGAATGGATGCAGACTTGTGAGGGTCTCCAGGCCCTCTCGCCGCGGATGCGGCGGGCCAGCTGGATGTCCTTGGGCATGATGGTGACGCGCTTGGCGTGGATGGCACACAGGTTGGTGTCCTCGAAGAGGCCTCTATGGCCTCCTGCAGCGCCATGACGGCCGAGCTCTGGAAGCGCAGGTCCGTCTTGAAGTCCTGCGCGATCTCGCGCACCAGGCGCTGGAAGGGCAGCTTGCGGATCAGCAGCTCCGTCGACTTCTGGTACCGCCGGATCTCGCGCAGCGCCACGGTGCCGGGCCGGTAGCGGTGCGGCTTCTTCACGCCGCCCGTGGCGGGCGCGCTCTTGCGGGCCACCTTGGTGGCCGGCTGCTTGCGGGTCACTTTGCCGCCGGTCGACTTCCGCGCTGTCTGCTTTGGGCGGGCCATCCTCCCTAACCACTCCAGAAACGGGCTGAGAAAGACTGGTACGAACCTCCGCTCGGGAACAATAATATATAGCTAAGATCAGCTTCCTGATTGGCTGCCGAGATCGCTCCAGTCTCATTGGACAGCAGATACTTCTTTTTTTTTAAAAAAAAACGAAATCCTTTGATTTCCCTTCTGGACTGAAGCAGTGCATTTCTTCAGTCTCTCGTCTCAATGCCGCCCGGGCTTCAGTGTTTTGAAACTGTATGGAGAGATGTAAGATGGTTTAAAAGCTGAGGTATATCGGGACAACCCTTTTCTACTCGCCACCACCTGGCTCAACGGTGCCTCCTTTCTCTCCCCTTTCCATATCCTTTAAATCACCTTGCTTTCTATTTGGGTCTTTGGTCTTTGCGAATTTATTGTTTGCATATAGCTATGTATGTTCCTTATACCTCACTGAACGGCTTAAGACTGCTCGGAATTAGGTGCGCTGGGCTTGAAAACGGCCGCAGAACACAGCGCACCCTGCGGCATAGATCCAAGCAGTCCTTGGATACTGTGCCCCCTCGGCACCTCCCCGAAATGTAGCTCCCTGGGTCAGCCGGGGCATGACTAGTAGAACAAGTTCACGTTACAAAAACTCCTGTTACTGGAGTTAGTGGGTATACTATGCCGTATTTCAACCCCCCCGCCTTGTTACCCGGAACTTTTGAGAAAAAAGGAGCGGCTTTTTCTACTGCCCCACCCCTAAG